TTTTTTTTTATAAATAGCAATTAATACAACGATGAATGTGGTAAAAGACGTACACAATTTTAACTATATAACTTAATCTTATTATTAATATCGTACCTTATACAAGGGTACATTCTCAAATGTGAACAATTTTAATTCACACGTAGTAAATAAATTTTATAAACGATTCATAACTTTAGCTGACCTAGTAATTATTTGATAATTTATAGTACACAGGTACTTTATTTACTGTAGTAAGTTCCTGTATTGTGTACTGTAGTTATTTTCATCGACATAAAATATGAATGTTAAGTGCCATTAAAAAGTGTGGGTGTTTCACGTCAATTTTCAAAAAAGTATGCCAGTACACGATGCGGAAAAAAAATATATATGTTACCTAAATAATGTTTTGTCTTCTTTTTTTTATGAAAAGCGAATTTGACACCTCTAAGATTTTACCGCTCCAATCACCTTCTTGTTCTGCTTTTAAGTACATTATTTTACGTTTGTATTATAAAAGTAAAAATCTCGTAAACAAACGTTTCAATAGATCTCTCAACGGGTTGTTTTTTTTTTTGTTGTTGTTACTCGATTCAAGGGATCGTTTTTCACGTAAATGACATTTTTAGAAAAAAAAAAAAATAATAACAAAAACGGTTAATAAGTACCCAATTTAAGTACAATATTGTTATGTAGGCAACGAGCACATTATATTGTTTCCGTCGTAAAATTACTGCTTACTATTAATTACTATTGTGTAATATTGAAGCTGATACAATTTTTTAGTTATAAATTATGTTCACTGCTGGTTCTCGATTGGATCAAACCGAGAACGTAATATTGCGCCATTTCGACGGCCATACGCGCGTTATTCGGTTTCGAAGGTTTAGAGTGCCGGGCGGGGCCGCGCGAACTAACGCGCGTCGAAGAGGTTTGGTGTATAATATGTTTCGCGTGGTCCGAAAACGTAAACGCACTAAACGCCGTACAGAAATGTCGACATATCGAACGAGATCATGCCCGCTCGGAAATCGGGAAATCTCTTCGTTTCGCATTCGCCTCACGCGTGTGTCGCTGCGCGCCGCTTTTATTTCGCTTTTAACGCCGCCGTGCCGCCGTCAGCGGTCTAGATTTACGGGTTTTGCGTGCCTCATATTATAATGCGCGTGTCGTATAAATATATACGACTGCTCGTACGTCTAAATATATTAGGTAGGTGTATGCCTACCCATACACGTACACACGAAAACGCCGAGTCGTCACACGTGCGCCCGATTACTGTAGGAAATATCGGCGGCGCGGTACACCGTGTTTAAATAATATTATTTATGATAACAATGAGTGTGTATACGTACCGCGTGTATTATAACAATTCGACGACACCTGCTGCGGATTCCGTACACCGAGAACAACGGTCCCTACGACCCTGTATACATAATGCATCCGCGCGCCGCAGCCACCGCCTTTGTCGTCGCGCAGGTTCGTTGTATGTTTTAAAACCAATAGTAAATATCCCTGTTAATTCCGGATTCTGAGCGGAGCTAGGAACGAATTGGATTTACATTAACGTCTATTCGGGTTTTTTTTTTTTTTTTTTTTTTTATTTTCCCAGAAGTTTTCTCAATAAATTGAAAAAACCGGGGGAAAATTACGAAATGCAATATTAAATGTTACCGTGTTTTTTATTTGTCGACGACATTTCTGCCGGCGATCTCGCAACGTTTTTAAACGATAGCACTTTTTCCGAAAAGAAATCTGACTGGGACGATACTTCAAGGTGGTCAGTTTTTGATTTTTCCTGTAGGATTTTTCATGATAAATGGGAAAAATCGGTAAAAAAAAAAAAAAACCGTAGAAAAAATGGGAAAACGTGCGAAATCTATTATTTTCAAATCGTAAATATTAAGGGCCTTTAAAAATATGTAAAACCGAAAAATTCCACTTAGCATCGTATATATCCTATCTTCTCAAATTGCTCACCCACAACAGTGATCCACCCGTCGTGCGAAGTGTGACCCGTCTTTTTTTTATTCTCGAATTCCCGTACCGTAACATTTATATTATACACAACAATAGTTGTTCGAGTCGTCTGCCCGCGGACCTTTCGGTAATTAATTTCTCGAACGATACATGTAGCGGCGTTCGGTTTTGCGACGGGCTCGGATCATTATTACAGTTGACATTATATTAGACCGCCAGACGCGGAATGATGGCTCGCTTTTTTACTGTTCTATCGCACGGTAGACCGATTGCGTTATAGGACCAACGATAGTAAACTGTATATTTGATATTTTAAGCGTGTGAACAAAACGAACACAACGATCGTAATAATCTACCCCCGCGTCGACATAATTTAAAAAAAAAAAAAAACAATACCGGTCGATAGACGTGATTATTTTTGAAAAAAAAATTGGATTTTCGTAGTTAACGTAAAAGTATTGTTGTTGTCCCGACATTTCGATGGCGTTGATCCGGACCTAAGGCCGTAGCCCGTTTTGGACATCTAGACGTCACGAAATATTTTTTCCGAAATTTCAAGAAAATCATAAGATGGGGAAGGTTAGAAGTCCCTTTTTTTTTTTTTTAATTACTCTTTACTATTTAAAGAAAAAACAAAGATATTTTATATAGTTCTATAATTTTTTTCAAAAACTCGTTAAAAGTCGTCAAACGAAATAACTTATTACTCAACTTACAAATGTTGTGAAACCAATTACTGCCCAACTTTGACTACATCATATATTTTAAACATTAAACCGTTTACTATAAGATTAAAATATGTTTAAAAATAATGATAACGATTGGACTTGCTTTATAAAGTTTAATATATCGTTTGTAAAAAAAAAAAAAAATAAATATAGAACCATAAAAATATTTGTGAAACATTTTAGCTATAGACATCCAGTTGACGTCTCATGGGTATTACAAATCGACCAGAGTAACTATTTAATTTTTATCCAGGACACAATTTACCGCATTCGATTTGTGTACGGAACTTGGTGGAAGGCTCGAAGTCTAAATAATTTATGTTAAAAGGGGACTCAATAAATTTATCGAACCCCACACCGGATACCGTCGGTCTTGTCGTTTCGCCGGGCCGCCGAATATTGTCTTCAGACTTCTCTACGAATATATCATTCGAGCGCTTCGATGACATTTCGTCTGGTGTATTTTTTAATAAACGACGCGGACGGCCGAGTGTGAGTACGTTTACTTGTATACGGGATGTCCCTACAAACAACGCAATAGTATTTTTTAGTTCGGTCGCGTGTCGCGCTCGAAATTTCGCGTTTCGCGTGGCCGACCGCCGTATCCGCCGAGAACGGCCGCCGCCGAATGGCACAGACGGCTTACTACAGGCACGGCTATAAATCAAAAAAAAAAAAATTATAACAATAATAAATAAATACACACATGTAAGTAAGAAAAACTCGGTTCGTTCTGTTTGACCGTGATATATATTCAGTGGCGTTTAAATTTTTTACCACTCGGTTATTTTATAATATTGAACCAGCTGAGACGATTTTTTTTTTATTCCGAATCGAAACCTAGGTTTTCTTACATTTGTATTATTGTTATGTTTTTTTTTTTCTCGCATTAATCACTTGAAATTTCTTTTTTTTCTTATTTGTAATTTTCACGGTAATTTGCAAATTTACCGCTAAATTACACGCGGAATATTAAGAATCACGAGTGCAGGCAGGTTCCTGGACACAAATTTGTATTTTTTAATCTGTTTTTTTTTTTTTTTTTTATGATCGCAAGATCACCGTCGTGCAGCCATTCATTCTATATGACAGACAATGAATGTGTACGCTGACCCGACGACGACGGCGATTTTCGGTTTCAATGCGTAATTATTTAAGTTGAGTAAAAAAAAATGTTTGTGTGTATAGTAATAATGTATATTTACATTATATATATTTTTTTAATTATTTTTGTACAAATAGCGATACAGTTCGTACAAAGAGTGAACGTCCGGAAATTAAAAGCCCGCATCAAAACAAAAGCAGCTGGGTCGTCGTCGTCGTCGTCGTCTTCCGCCGCGCTGCGCCAGCAACGGTCGTTATTATTATTCACCAAGTTAAATTAACTTTGATATTATATGTTTACAATAAATGAATCGTTTTCAGAAAATTACTTCCGAAAGTGCAGTATAAATAATATATTTTACATCAAGGGTGGGAAAGAAATTGTAAACAAGAGAGAGAGGGAGAGGGTATGACGAGACTCTCGTGGAGAAAAAATGAATTTAAAGAAACGGCTGGTACTGTAGAGAAAAGCGACGCGAATAGAACAATTGATTAGATACGACACCTTCGTAACATTTTCTGAGCAAAGATCTCGGGGAGAAAAAACTAGAGGACGCCCGAGGACTTCCAAAGATCCAAAGCGACTCGCGGATGTCGAACCATATTCACGGCTGAGGAACATGGACAAAGGACAGAGACGTATCATGGCTATCACGACCAGGCGCTATCTTTAGACAAGTATGATGATTTCCTAGGGAAAACGCATATCGATTGTATCCGAATGCGAGTCAAGTTGGCGCCGGGATTTTCGGTAAGCCCGGAGAGAAACGAATTTAGAAAATAGCGTATCGAACTTGGTCAAATTCTGGGTGAAATTTTTGAATTCACCGAAACTTTGCGGGTGATTAAAACGTTTTAAATGAATATTTATTTTTATTTATTTTTTTCATAATTTGCGGGTTTTAGTTGCTGTAATTGCGTGTATATATTTTGTACGTGTACGCATTTTAACGCGAGAGAAATTCGTTTTCGGTAAGAACATTATGATACTCGCGATGGCTACACGAATTTGAAGCGTTAAATCTTTATTACCTATATTATTATCTTATTTCGAGTTACGGTTTTACATATGTATGTACTTAACCTTATAATTATTATAATTATTTTTTTTAACATTTTCACTAAGCCGGGCGTTTCACCCGTGCGCCGTCAGAACGATATGATGAACATTTAACGTCGGTTGATTGATGTTTTTTTTTTTTGTTTGTTGTTTTTTTTCTTCCGTTTTTGTTTTATACACTGTGCCCCGTTTCACTACCCGACACAGGCGACAATATATATTACTATTATACGCGGAGGGGATCGTCCCCTTAATACTTTCGAATCGTTTTACGAACGATATTAACGTGTGTATAGGTGAATTATATTATTATACATTATAATCACTGCGCGCGATCAACGATACGGTCACGCGAACGATAAATTATTATAATACGATATATACCTAATGCATGTTTAATTTACAAACGGCGATATACATATATTATATTTTCAGCTGCATTACGCATAAACGTCTGTATAGAATATACTACCATTAATACTCGCGTATTCGAGTGCCGAGCGATTGTAAAAAAAAAAAAAAACTGTATGTTTTACCTCGCATATATTATTGGTAAACCGTTTAATATGAACGTCACCGATTCGGTACGTTGAAATATCGTTGTGCAGCTATAATAACACACACGTGTTTCTAAAAATTATTCAAATCTTCTCCGTGACATAAAAAAATCATAAAAAAAATATTGACACGCGCGAGTCATAATAAAAAAAAACACATGTACACGTAGTTGTAAAAATGTCTTATACCCGTGTGTGTGTGTGTGTGTGTGTGTGGTTTTGTCACTAGTTACACGAATGCAAATATTATATTATAATACCTAACGTTCAGAGTAGCACCCGTGTTGCAGCCGAACGAGAACAAAACGTTCATTAACGACAAAAATATTATAAAAACGAAACGCATTCGAAACGCACACAGCTCACATCGATTACGGTATTATCTTTGTCGTTGTATGGGTATATATTTTTTAAATTTAGAGTTTTATTATGATGTGTCTTTTGACTTAACCTAACCTAACCTAACCTACTTATTGAATGTGTATAATATCTAGTAGGTAATCTATGAGTTTTTTCGTAAAAAAAAAACAAACATAATTCGCACGAAGGGCGGGATGTATATCCGTACGCGACGATTAATCATTGTCAACCGAAAAAGATTCTGAGCGGCAGTGCTGTATTATGGTTTTTAGGGCCTCGGGGCTAAAGGCCTATAAGCAAAAAGAAAAAGGCCAGCAAAAGATTTGTATAATGTTCTAATATTCGTATATAAAATCAAAAACAAAAAAAAAAAAAAACGGCCATCAACAAAAATACACATTGTGTGGCCCCCTTCAACTTGCGTACCGAGGATATAGCCCCCTAAGTCTCCCCTTGATCCAACCGGGCTGAGCGGAGTTCGGTGTTTTGATCGGGCGTAATATTTACGATTTGAAAATAATACATTTCGTACATTTTCCCGTTTTTCCCTACGTTTTTTTCCGATTCATTACGAAAACCCCTGAGAAAATCAAAAAATGACAAACAAAACGTTCGACGTCTATGGCCTAGCCCGTTTTCTTATAATATTTTGATTGTACAATTGTACTCTACGCTTCGATATTTTCTTAGTGCTACATTAAATTACAGCATGACGATAATATTTAATGTTATATCAATACGGCCGATGTGTATTCTCGACGATGCAGAATATTGAGTTTTGAGTGCGTGTTTCTTATGCGATAATAATATTAACATATTATTATATAGAAACGCAAAATGTTTGCAGTACGTACAAAAAGTACACACGAGTGTACAAGTCAAAAGCCACTTAATCGAAGGAAATACATTATACTGCAGCGTACATACAGACCTGTGCGCGAAATTTCGAACGCTAATAATATTATTAAATTTGATCTCGAAAAGACAAATACGCTGGAAATGTATTCTGCGGATCACCGTAAACTTTTTACGCCTCGAACGCTTACGGTATCCGTAGGAATCGGCCGATATTTCGCTACGTTTTGGCTGAAATACCGATACAAAAACGTGGACAAAATTCGACTTCGACCAAATCGTTTTTTTTTTTTTTTTTTGTGTGTGTTATCCAGAAAGAATTAATACCAGAGAAATAAAAATGTATAAACTTACCTGCGATAGAAACTTCTAGTGGTAACGCAAATTTTATCCTCGACCATTTTTTAAATATATATATATATATATTTTTTTGTCACGTAGGTAGTTTTGATTTCATTTTGAATGCGTCCTAGAGTTTTACGAATCATACAATATTTATAACGTCATGGGCACGCGATAAATTTTACACACTTATAGGATTATTGATAACAATTTTTAATTTTTATTGTTATTATTATAGTATATTAATATTATTCCAAAACACAATATATTTTAATTAATCGATAAAACAATACAAACGTCATCGCAAGCGTACAATATAATTATAATTATATTTACATGAACACGAGCGGGGTACACAATATTTATTACGGTAATATTTATAATAATAATATAATCATAATATACAACCACGGTTATAGACGGAACGGTTGCCGAACGAGTTGTGATAAGGGAGCTTCGCATTAGTGGTACAGTCTTCGTAACGCTCCGCACGGAAACGTTAACACTATTACACCGTGCATATGTTTACTAACGATACGGTTTGTTGCCGTAATAACGATTTTTATGTAATTTATTCCATAGACCTATTAAAGATCGTGGACTGATAATCCCTATAGTTCCCCAAAGGCGGCACTGTTAGAAGAAGATAGAGACGGATTTTTTTTTGACAGAAATCGTAGAAAACAGGCGTATAGTGAATATTTAGTATGTTCTTGCGTCAGCTGGCTAGTCCTCGGGAAGACTATAATATTATATCAATCACGATTCTACCCATTGGCCCATAAAAAGACCGATTACCCGAGCCCGAATTAAGAGTTGTGGAGGACCGGGGGTCCAAATTAATACAAGGAGATTTATTCTATTATAATGGAATAAATACGCAAAAAAAAAAAAATCGACCAAATATTTTATTCAACCCATGATTTTTACGGGATCTTGTTTCTCGTAAGCCCCGGGTACGTGGCCCCCTCTGACCACCCTTAATCCGGGCCTGTAACTACCTACCATATAACTGATAATAACCACTTTGATGTTTTTTCCTTCTACGATATCTCAATGTTGTTCGTCTTTTTCTGCAATAATGTCGAAACTCATACGTCTCTTTCTACTACTATCCGTCCGTCTCTTTACAAGGTCTATGAATCATCCGTATTCCAATATACAGTAACTACAACAGTAGTGTATGTAGTCGGTAGATACACTTATCTGCTATAATTTTTTTTAAAAAAACATTCGGGGTCCACGATGATAATTTGTCCACGTATTACAGTTCGTCCGCGGTAACCGTTCCACCCGTAATCGTGTATATACAACATTAATTATAAACGATCAATATGATATTTACACAAAACCGCAATTCGTTACAATAAACATAATACAATAAACATTGTTGGTACTAGCGTAATATGAATAATTATATTGTGATTAAAGTAGTTTACATAGAATCGACTGTTTGACGTAGATAGGTATATAAGTACACGAAAATATTATAAGTATAATCTTCCGGTCGAATACAATCGAAAACATTACGGACAAGAAATGGTATTATATATATATATATATTTTTTTTTTTTTTTTACGGCGTACTAAAACAGTAAATCTATAATAAATTCGAATGTAAAACAAACCGACGGGTAGGTATGGTATAGCGGTACATAAATTATTATATACCACGATTGCGTTACACGGACCACTTAAATAATTATCGTAATCGCGAGTGTGTGAGAGGAGAGAGATATGTAGAGAGAAAAAGAGAGGGAGAGAGAGAGAGAGAGAGAGAGAGCTTAAGTATATTATATAGTACGCGTAACCTTAACGTTTTAATGCGCCTGGCAACCGATCTCGGAATAATAATAATAATATTATTATTCCGTATAGTACGGTAATTTTCCGCGGGAATTGTACAGAGCGATCCGTTTGTCTAACCAAACGATTTTCTTGGACGATGTCGAGGGGATTTATTTCGTTTCGCCGTTAAATAATGTACAGAATCGTTTGAGGTTTATTTAACACTGTCCTCTGCATTATCTACTCGTGTTCCTCATAATATTTAAACAAGTACACGATTTTTAACGCTAATATATCGGATTTATCGTTCGTAAGTTATAACTGAGTTATAGCGGTTAAAAGTTCAGACCGGAGGAGAAAGAAAAGGGTTAAATGTATCGTTTACATTCTTATAATTCCTCTGCTAAATCCAATAATAGTGTTGTGCACATGAAAACTTATGGACAAATAGCCACTTTTCGAATCTAAATTGAAGGTTTCTTTACCCCCGTACAAGGTATGAGGAGCGTGGCTGAACAGTAGGATATAGTTTTAAAATAAAGCGTAAACGACTTTAAAATGATTGAAAGATACTAGAAATCAATGAAATCCGTTGAAAATTCTTTGAGAAAAGCCCCAGCTCATGATGAATGGACCACCCTGTATATTATAACGAAAATGTTTTATTGACGCGTCGACGGATAATTTTCGCAAACTCGTGAGAGGGGGGGGGGTGGAGGACGTTATGAATAATAATTATATTACTTATGAAATTATTATTTCCCCTGTCGAGTGTACATAGGAGTACTGCACTTACACTGCCGACATCGTCGTTCCGGAAGAATATTTATTATGTAATCGCGCAATTATTATAACTCCGAATACGAGTTTGTTTTATCATTTTTTAATTTTTTTTTTTTTTTTTTTTTGATAAAACATGAAACAACTAATTTATTTGCATACGTGATATTTTATATTTAAATATAATGTGCGCCAAACGGAATAAACGTCCGAAAGCGTCGGCCCAAATCGCAAAGGTCGTATACCATCGTGTTCAAAATGCCAAGTATTGTTCGAGGGGAAAAAAAACTATAGATAATATAATAACATGTGCATTTATAAATTATTTTGTTAGTCCAACATTATAAAAAAAAAAAAAACAATACAGTACGTGTAACGATTTTCCAACTATAAAAAAATACTATGTCGATTATAATTATTATTATTATTTTTTTTTTTATCGGGCTCGGAATTATTTATCTTTATAATTATCATCTCTAATATTATCTCTTATTTAACACGAATATACGACCGTGTATGGTTTTTGCGTCGGAGTTAGAACTGTTTCGCGGTTTATCGCGGAGTCGGACGAAAGAACCGAACGACGCGGACGTTTTTCCTGACATTTGAATCGTAAATAAAAAGAGTTACTACCTTTGTGGTCTGGGTAGGTCGGCGATATTTTTTTTTTTTTTACAGAAGCGGACGCGTATAATCGTAAATCCGGACGTTAATAACGGCCCGGATGTTTCGGGCGGGCTCATTATTAATTCCCGTACGATTGACATCGATCATGTACATCTACGCTGTGTGTTCGGCTGTATGCTAATTGTGGCCCGATACCCGAACCGGGGAAAAAAACAATACACTAATTGAGTCTGGGGTATAAACGAGAAACATATCGACCGAGTCCGCGGTTGGGAAACCGAAAATATACTAATTGATGATTCCGAGTATTACTTTGAGTAAAATACAAAATCAACCATAATACACGATGAGACCGATACGGTTATGAAGACCGTTTACGTGCATATATCATCTTTATAACTTTCGTATTATAACAAATGTTTACCAATATTAACAATGTAATTTTGATGTTTTTTTGTAAAAAAAAAAAAGTTCGACGGGGACGCAGTCGGTATTAAAACATGGACTCGATGATTATTATAGCTAAAATTTCAAAATGACCCGATTAGTGTATGTACCTAAAACCAACCGGGGACTCGATTCGTATGCGGCCGAGTGTTTACTCGTCGAGCGCTTGATTTGGCGGGGGCGCGGCCGATATTCGGCAGGACTGAGGTTCCCTGGCCCGCCGTTCGCGCGTTACGGTACACGAATCTGTGAAACGCAGATCGCCGAAATTTTTAACCGCTGGTAACTGTGCGCATGGACGCCATTTGACGGGGTTCAGACTGCAATTCGGCGGTCCTGTTTTTTGTGAACGTGTCTTTTGGCCCGCTCGTAAAATGTTATACAAACGCTCCGACGTCGATAAAACGCAAAACGCAACCACTGTCAACGGTCGCCTCCTCCGGGGCCCGGCCGTTTGAGATATTGTAAATGTGAAACACGGACGATCACGGTTAATAATTGTTTTTCACGGCTTACGGTTAACGATAGTGCCGCCGTGGTATCAGCGCGATTTTAATGTCGCCCGACTGATTGCAGCGAACAGAGTATGACGCACGGTGTTGAATTCAACGTGTGGTTTCTTAATTGTTTTTAAAAAGAAACATTTCAGTATTTGAATGTTAAAACGCGTACGGCGGGAATACGAGCGAACGGAATTTGTTTTTCTTACACACGAACAAGATACGACAACATATCAGTGGCCTGGCGGCGGCGAAAAATTGGCCCGGTTCAAACGCGTTCGCGTCCCGATCGAAAAACAAAAAAAAAAAAAAAAAAAACCGAAATGCCCGCGCCACCGCACGCGCGTCGACCGTTATTACACGGCCGCGGGCCGTTAGCGTTCTTGTAAAAAGTCAACGGATTTCACGCCCGGCGAATTACGCCGGCCGTCGCGGTGCGTGAAAAAAAAAAAAAAAAAAAAAAAAACCCGCGTAGCTATTCGGCCGCCCGCGTAATAACAGTACACGTTAAATACGAACGTATACATTATTACGTTTACAAAACAAAGTTATAACACCGCGAGTATTCGTTAAAAGCGTCGCGTGCCGGAGGGATCGCGATTTATATTGTACAAATTACTACCTACGCAAGTCTCGTATGATTTATTGAAATTCTACAAAGGTTTTTATACGTATATACCGTGTAAATATAGATTTCGTTATGTTACGCGTACACACATCGTACCTACTTGCGTTAGAAAACGGCGTTAGGTTTGAACAATTTAAACGAATAAAAAACAAAACGCACTGTTACTGGTTCGAAATAGACGGGGGGGGGGTTTCCTGTTATTACTATTGTTTTTCTATCCGTCCGAATCCAAGTGACGGGGGGGTGGGGGCGGGCATAGGGGAAACGCGGCTATCGCTCTGCACAATGTCCCAACGGTTTTGGCGGGGCGGTTTTTTTTTTTTGTCTTATTCGCCTGTGGGTCGGTTCGAACGTAACTCGCATGTTGTGTTAAAATATTTTAAACACATAGGATATCATTATGTCAGGTATGTTTTCATCATAAAAATAAACAATAAACACATTTTACAATTACAATATATACATTACCGACGACAATAAACAAAACGGTATTACCGTGTTGAATCGGTAAATCCGGCGGACGCCGCGTACGGATGTGCGAAAACCGGCTACTCGCGGCGGGAAAAAGGCGGACATTTTTTTTTTGTATTCGTCGTTCGTCGTGAAACGCTTCGCGCGTAATGTCGCACGCGTATCACGGTCGCGCCGCCGCGAGCGCCGTTTTCAAGGGTGGCGCGTGTGTACACGTACGCGTATCGTTTTATTATAACGACAGGTATATTGAACGCGTGTCGAACGTCCGGAAACTGGGTGTTAAAACGCGAAACAGGGAAAACTGTGTGTTGCGGCGCCGTGAGAGCCGCTGTCGCGAAACCCTTGAATTTCGCCACGCGGAACGACGCGCGGGCTCGGACTCGCGAGCCTGCAGAGCGACGTAACACGCGCGCAATGTGGCGGCTGTCGTGCACGCGAGATTGTTGCGTACCGTCGGGGTTGTCAATCGAATCCAACGGTCGGATAAAACGTCACACGCCCACGCCGTTTTTATCGTGTTACCGTTGTTGCCGTTGTTCGACGGTGATCGAGGCGGCGCGACGGCGTACTCGGGCCCGATTTTAAAGAATCGGTTACGTGGTGGGGGGAGGGGTTGTTTGGGTGAAGGCGAGGCGTTAAATTTACAAATCGGACATTGGGGGGGGAAAAAAAAAAAACCGATTCTTCGTTAGTACGTCAACGTAGTGGTCGATGCGAGAAGTTTATAAAAATACGTAAACAATTGGTACCGACACGCCGTACAGTTCGGACGTGCAATCGGAATCACAGTGATACTGTAGCGTTTTCCATCCGACTACGCTCGCGCAGATTGAGGTGTACACTCGAATGTAGCGCACCCGGTATCGGATCCGGCGGAAGTCCTATATTATATTATTATCGTTAATTCGTTTACGCTCTATCAAATTAACGTGCAGACGACAGCATAATGTACAAAATACAAAAATATAATCCGCTCCGTCGAGATCGACGGTATCGTTTTTTTTTTTTTTTTACACTCGCGTAGACGATAGGATTTCGTTATAGGTACACCGTCATATGAAATTCGCGTTATCTACACCGGTGAATGGATTCGATACTATAGGCAAAAGGTGCGGACGAGTGCAGTCAGACGGAAAACGCCATTATTGATTCGCGTTAATCCGGACAGTCGCGAAAATACGAGTTTCTCGAGTACTGGCAGGCATTTTCCTTCGACGATTCATCTGGCAGCTGCTTTCGTCCGTGTAGTATAATAACATGGAAATTTGCACTGCCGCCGTCTTTGATATTCAACAATTCCGCGATATTCCCGTTTCGAAATCGTAGCACCCTCAGAGACTGTATTTTTTTTTTTTTTTTTATCTGAAAATAATACACAGACAATTTTAGTGAAAAATGCTTTATTGTCATTTTATATAAGAAAAAAAAAACAATAGTTTCGATAAACTGTCTTACGATAATCCTCGAAAACCTTGGAACAACGATCATATAATTTTAAAAAATAAATTTTTTTTTTTGTTTGGTTCGGCTGATTATTATACTCGGACCAGGCACATAACCAACATAACCCGGCCACCCAACATATTTACAGACCACCTCAATGACCACCCCATTAAATTGTTGAAATATCCAAGGTTCAAATTGTATTTATTTTAACATACATTTGATACGTATCATATTCATTGTTCTTATGTATTATGTATAATAAGGGTTTATATAATTTAAAAATCTTAATTATCTAATTTAATTGTTTATTTAAATTTAGAGTCCATGCGGGCATAGCAGTGAAAGGGTTAATACCTATTGTACTTTTGTTACCGTAATAATATATTAAAAAGAGAAAGACTTGGGGTACCTATGTTTCTTCATAATCTCAAATTTTAATGATAAAAAAGCGTCGTCGCTCGACTCTGAATCTAAAATTGTTATACTATAAACATACTTATAAATTAGTACCTAGTGGGGGGAAGTAAATGTTGGCAATTCGAGAAAAATGTTGACAATAATACGTGCTTGACTTGGAACAAAATTCTAAAATTTTATAGCTCCCATCTTATTTAAAAATTATAATTCAGTACTTGTATAATACTAATATAGGATCCATTCAAATCTCTGTTTGCTTTAAATAATGCCATCAAAAAGTAAATTTTCGGAAAACAAATTGACTATCTGGTCGTTGTACCACGGTCTTTATAATCAAAATCAATACTTCAAAAATTACATTTTTATTAATACTACGTCGATAAAAAATTAAAAATAAATCAGTAAAAATACAGTTATAGTAAATATAGGTTCGTATAGGACAATATTATAAATATACATGTGTATACAATTGTATATAATATTTTTTTTTAGTATATGTAACGTATCTCGTAAGGCATATTCAATTACGTTATCAAATACCATGAAATATCTCTGTCCTGTACTAAAAAGTACAACTACTTAAACTTTTTTAGTATAGGTAATTAAAAAAAAAAGAAAAAACAGTAAAAACAAATGGACATACTTCGCTCAATGGGTGGGCCACAGTTGTAAGTGAGAAGTTAGGAAGGTAGAGGAGCAATTTAATCATTGCAAACGAAAAACGATTGTGAGTGGAGTTCGATTAAACATGATTTGAAATGCGGTAATATATGCGATTTTAGAAATAATACATTCCGTACATTTTCCCTACGTTTTATTTCATTTATTATGAAAATACCTGAAATAATCGAAAAATGACCTTATTAAAGTATCACACCCAGTTCCAGTCAGATTTCCTTTTAGAAAAAGTGTTGCACTTAAAAATCAGGGTAAAATTTCCGGTGGATAAATTGTTCACAGAAAAAAAAAATAAACACCATTGTAAAACTCTCGCTGTACATTGTACATTCCTCGCTTCGCCCAAAATCGAATATTACAAGTTTCGTGAAGTACAATTATATTTCTGCACGATCCGAAATACGTCTGAATATGTCAACGGAGTTTTGGTTCTATCACTAAAAGTTATTATTATTTCTATCACAGTAATACGGGAGTATATTTTTTTTCAATTACTTTTAAGAATATTATTATTACTGTCATAACAAACATGCGTGTTGTCGGCGATTTTCTCTACGGTGGATAATAATATACTATCATGCTCGTATGCTCGTACGCTAAAAAAGGATTAGTATAGGTACCTTATTGGTACCTATTTAATATTACTGTTGCAATAATATAGAAAAACGTGCATATGGTATAAATATGCAAATTAATGGATATCGGATAAATGTCTTATTTTAAAAGATCAAGACTAGTAAACGTAAAATTAATACGAAGGTAATTTTTTGCAAGTGGAAAATCGCGTAAAAAATCGATTTTTCTGGTGATATTATAGACGTGGTGGATAGAATATAACATGCTAAAACCGCAGGCTATCTTTCGTTTTTCGGAATGGCCGATTGTTCGATTATTCGTTTTTTTTTTTTATTTTTTTTACATTTTATATTCTGAGTTTAACGAAGGAATTACATTATTATATAGCTGTATCGAGATGTGTTTTTTTCTCGGAAAACACTTTTCGGCCAGTAAAAATGTTCCGAATCATATGCGTTGTATTTTAAAAGACGCGGATTTCTCGAACGGCGGTACTTGCTTTGCAAAAGCAATTTCTGTACATTTTCAACAGAATTCTACATAAAGTTTATAAAAAAATACCTTCAACATAATGTATCGATTTATTTTTCTCGGCGTCTGGGTCACAAGGAGTTATAGGGGCGAAAACCACGACTGAACAATAATAAACTCCATCCAGAATCGTTTTTTTGTTTGAAAAAGTATATTGTTCCTCGTTTCTCCCGGTAAGTACGTAGATTATAAAACAGCATAAATTCAATTTACCTTTCAAACTTCCCACCTACTACAGTGGCCTACCCTCGCTGCGAAGTACGTCAGATTTTTTTAATTGTACGTTAACACAACTGGCAAATGGCCACATTATAATACTATTACAGTTGAACATCGATAAAATCGCTGGTTTAGTATCAGTGTATTATAGTTAAGTTCAAATTGATATTATAGCAAAATAGCGTGTCGTCGAACACGTAAGTAGCCGAGTATAAATTCACGAAAGCAACAAAATACGCACAGCAACTCATTAAACTCACGGGAACTATATGACTTTTTAACCGCTTTTAATAAAGCGACATATTTTAATTGTGTATACAGAGTGATGTTTTCACCCAAAAAATAGAAACTATTGCACTGTCCTTTTGTCGTTATAATAAATAAACAAAACCGAAAATAATGAAACCATCAACGCCACCTGAACTTTCACGTTTTTCCTATATTTTTCCCTGTGTTTTCGAAATTATTAAAAGGACAAAAGGAAAAAAAAAACTGACTATCCAATATGAGACAATATTTACTTCCAGAAAAGATGCTATTATTGAAATTTGGACCAAGATTTCTGGTAGAAAACAAAATTGTATAATTTTTAAAGAAAGAAATCATTACGCCGTAAATCTGTTGTCCGTTCTTCCTGTGCATTTTTCTCGGTGTTTCCAAATTATTATGAAAACCGTTTGGAAAATCGAAAAATGGCATACTAGACCGACTAAATCCAATATTCGAATAAAAAACAATGTATTGTCATTTTCCGATCGATGCGATTTTTTCGGCAGAAAAGTTGTTTACA